AGCTTTTCTCACAAGCTTCAAACCATTGAAATTTCATTGTCTTCTGAGTTAACTTGGTCAAAGGGGTGAAATAGATGAGAACCCCTCTACGAACCTTCTGTAATAGCCAGCTAAACCCAAGAAACTGGTAATATCAGTTGGAGATGTGGGTCTAGGCCAATTCTGTACTACCTCAATTTTCTGAGTATCAACTTGAATTCCCTCACCAGACACAATGTGGCCTAAGAATGCCACAGACTCAAGCCAAAACTCACACTTAGAGAACTTGGCATACAACTCTCTATCTTTTAAGTCTGGAGAACTATTCTAAGATAACTAGCATGAATTTCTTCATTCCTTGAATAGATTAGTATGTCATCAATGGAGACGATAACAAACATATCTAAATAAGGTTTGAAAACTCTATTCATAAGGTCCATGAATGTCGCAAGCGCATTGGTCAAACCAAAGGACATAACCAGAAACTCATAATGACCATAACGGGTTCTGAAAACTATCTTTAGAATACCACACTCCCTTACTCTTAATTGATGGTAGTCAGATCTGAGATCTATTTTAGAGAAACAGGTGGCACCCTGAAGTTGATCGAAAAGATCATCAATTCTTGGAAGAGAATACTTGTTCTTAATGGTAACCTTGTTCAACTACCGGTAATCTATACACATCCTAAGGGAACCATCTTTCTTTCTCACAAATAAGACCGGAGGGCCCCAAGGTGAGACACTTGGTCGAATGAAACCCTTATCAAAGAGATCTTTCAACTACTCTTTAAACTCTTTCAACTCTACTGGTCCCATTCTATATGGCAGAATAGAAATAGGACGAGTGTTTGGAAGAAAATCTATACCGAAGTCTATCTCTCTTAGGAGGGACTCCGAGAAGATCATTTGGAAAGATTTCTGGAAACTCTCTTACTACTACAACTGACTGAATAAGAGGTATCTCAACACTAGAGTCATTAACTCAAACTAAGTGATAGACACACCCCTTGGAAACTAACTTTCTCTCCTTAAGGTACGAAATGAAATGACCCTTACAAACTATTGAACTACTACTCCACTCTATAACTGGCTCATCTGGAAACTGAAACTTGACAACTCGAGTTCTACAATTAACTGAGGCATAATTGTAACACCCTAGAAATTTTTTTGAGCTAAGACTCGAACCATTCTTCGTAGTGAGTGCAATTTTACCAAGGAATTAAAATTTCTTAAGTGTTAAGGTCACTAGATGTAGCACCTTGAGTTCCAAAAGGAATTAAATTGGAAATAGCAAAATTTGAAATTTCGCAAGTTAAGCTAAGTATGAGTTTTGGGTCTACTTCAAACAACCATAACTTCTAGATCAATATGAGTTAGGTGTGATACCAGATACCTTAGGGAAGATCTTTGAATTATCTTTCCAACACCACCAAGTTTGCTAAGTTTTGAGTTCATATGAGGGAGATATGTCCATTCGAAGTTGGGCTGTCTAGATAAGGAAAGTCAAAACCGGATTTTTAGAGGGATATTTTGGTCTTTTCCTTATCCAATCAGATTTAATTCATTTTTAGTAATATTTTAGGGGTCTAATATGAATAGTTTCAGTTTTATAATCCTAGTTTACGCCTAGGGTTTTAGTTGAGAGTTCAAGAAGAGAAAAGAAGAAGAGAGAAGAGGAGAAAAGAGAAAGGATGAAGGCGTTCGTCGATGTTCTTGAGAGTTGTTACGGATTATCTCCATGGGTATGATCCCTAAGAGGTATGTAAGCTTCCATAGTGTTGGGTTTGTTAACCCACACGCCAAACATATTATTTTCAGCGAAATTTCATTCTCAAAAAGTTGAAGGATTTAAGTTCTTGAAGTTCATTCTAAATCTTGTTTTGTTGGGGTTTTGATGATTTATTGAGATGAAAGTGATTGTTTTGAGTGTTATTTTGAGTGGATTAGTGTGTACTTAGGTTGGGTAATTGAATCTTAAGAAATCTTGAGAAAAGAAATCGATTAAAAGCAATTTAAGGTAAAAAAAAAGAGGAAAAGTTCATCAGTTTTGCCTGGGGCAATGCTGGCGCGACGCACCCCCATTGCACCAGGAAGGATGGGGCGATGCTCCAGGAGTGCGCTAGAAATGAGCCCCAGTAAATTAGGGCTTGGCGCGGCGCGCCAGGGACGCGCCCGGATCGTCCTTTTTCACCAGTTTTTCATCGTTTAGCCTATTTAAGTTTTTCTAAGTGTCCTAGCAGTTTCCATTGATTCTAACTACTATAAATGACTTCTAAACATATAGAAATCATCCATGAACATGAATCATACCCTTGAATCCATAATTCAAATTCAAGGTAGAGTTAAGAGTTAAGTTTTGACAATTCTTTCGAACATTCTAAGAAAGTTCCTTTAAGTTTTTTTGAGGAGTCTTCTATAACTTCTAGTAACTTGTTTCAAGATTCTAGAAAGTGAGTATGAGGATGAGAAGAATGTATTCATGAGTCTACTTTATCATTGCGATATCCTTCCGACCATGAACCATAACTCTTGAATTCATAATTCACATTCAAGAGAGAGTTAAGAGTAGAGTTCAAGAAATTCTTTGAGTTCAATTGTTAATCCTTTGAGATCCATCATCGATTTGAGTTAAGTTTTGAGGAAGTAAGTATAAGTATGAGAAGAGTCGTATACATGAGTTCCTTATTGATATTTTGACCCTTGAGTCGAGTCGTTCATGTTCATAACTTCCACATGAACTTCATCAGTTGAGTTGAGTACCTTCGAGAGGAGTAGTATCTCCAAGTTCTAAGTATTGAGTTCCTAATCCCCTATGAGATTATATTTATAATCATGACACTGTTACGTGTTACCCATGAAGTCCTTAAGTTGAATTTTTCATGCCAATAATTCTGCATGAACCCTATAAGTCGAATAGTCTTGAGATGAGAAGTATATTTGAGTCCTTGAGTGAGTAGCTCATGCTCATAATTCCGCATGAACCCTCTGAGTTGAGCATTCTTGAAATGAGTAGTATTAGTGAAGTTCTTGAGTTCCAAGTATTGAGTTCTATCTATGGTTATTGAAAACCTTGCATTGAGTTGTTCATGTCCATCATTCGGCATGAACCATATTTTAAGAAGTCTTTTACATATGTTTAAACTTTGTTTTAAGACTTAAGCTTTGAAGTTGAGTAAAGAGTAAAAGTAAAGTTCATTTTCTTTAAAATGATCTATGGGAACTAAGTATTCCCAAAAGTAAATGTTTTCACATTTAACATGAGAGGAAACTGAGATTTCCAAAAAAAAAAGAGTTTGAGCAAGAAAAGGGAACATCGATTCCAAGAGAGCTTTTAAGCAAAGTTTGAGTAATTATCTCATTTCAGAGAAGAAGTTGTTTTAAAAAACAGATGAACTAAGTACATTTTGGGAGTATTATTGAGCACCGATGTGGGGATGCGAGTTTCATATTAACTCAAGACTCCATGAAAACCATGTAGCCATCATGGGTAGAAAAGGGTCATGCTTTTTAGATGAATCCTTTTTCGCATAGACTAGTGGATCCACTAAGTTCAGTTAAGTCCTATACTGATGGCAAGGTATATGATGGTCCTTGGCAGCGTGAGGTAAAGTGTTGTATCATCACTATAGCTCTTAAGTGATGGTTATCAATTAGAGAAACTCCCAGATAAGCTATATTACTTTATTATATAAGCAAAGTTGAGTTTGTTATTGCATTTTATTTAATGAGCTAAGTTGTTTTTACTATTTTATAAAGCTTTCCATATATTGCATGTGTATTGTTGCTTTATATTGAGTTGAGTATCCAAAGTTGAGTACCCAGAGTCGAATATCATATCTTTGAGTTGAGTATCTAATCTCTGAGTTGAGTATCTTATCCTTGAGTACTTCTGAGTTGATTAAGTTGAGTAGTTTTGAGTATCCTTGAGTATTCCTTGAGTTGAGTAAGTTTGAGAATAGGTAAGTATGTTTCCTTTGTATCAAGTTTCAAGCTTATGTTATGCTTTAGAATTCCTCTTACATGCTCGTACATTCCACATACTAAGCCATTTGGCCTGCATCTTTTCATGATGCATACACAGGTATTCAGGATCATCAACAGGAGCTTCGTTGATACATCCGGAAGTTCGAGTTAGCTATGGTGAGCCTCCTTATTTTTCGGAGGATTTTATTTACTTTTCAGTTTAGTCAGGATGTCGTGGGTCTTTTCCCGACTTCCATCTTTATCAGTTAGAGGCTTCATAGATAGTCAGTATAGTTGAGAAGTTTGTATCATTTATTTTATTCGAAGTTTTCTTTTGAGTTAAAGCTTTCTATTTAAGTTTTATGAATTTTATTCAGTTTTAAGCTTTTTATGCTTGAGTTAGTCTTCCGCTTAAAGTCTGCTAAGATGAAGGTTCGCTTGAAAACCAACAATGGTTCTTGAGTGTCGGCCACATCCAGGGTGTAGGCTCGGGTCGTGACAATAACAGGCATGAAGCCATCCATACCAAGAATAACATCAAAATCTACCATGTCTAACTTAATTAAATCAGCCATGGTACTTATGTGATTGACGAAAATGGGACAATCACGATAGACTCTCTCTGCTAGAATAGATTCACCAATAGGTGTAGAAACACTGAAGGGTTCACTAAGTTGCTCACGAATAACATCAAAATTCATCACAACATAAGGAGTTACAAAAGATAAACTTGCTCCCGGGTCTAGCAAAGCATAAACATTAGAGTTAAAGACTTGGATCATACCAGTGACAATATCTGGAGAATCCTCTTGCTCTTGGCGACTGGTGATAACATATAGGCGGTTTGATCCCCTGCTAGTACCGAAATTAGCCCATCTAGGTGCAGCTCTGTCTAGTGGATCAACTGAAGAAGATTAGGCTCTATTACCCCCATTACCATTACCCTGCCTGTTCTTTGGATACTCTTGCATGAAATGGACATTCTGTCCACACTTGAAGCAACCAGTGGAGCCCTCACGACATGTACCTGAGTGGTTCCTACCACACTTAGCGCACGCAGGAGGCTTACTACCCCCTTGCGCCATACTACCCTGAGAATAAGTAGATTTGGCTCTGATATTCTGACTAGTGTACTCGCTTTTGTTCTTAGGTGCAGGTGCACTAGCAGATGATGGATCATGTCCCTTTTTTTTCTGTTGGAAGGATGACCGGTTGGCATTACTCTTCTGCTGCCCGGACTTATTCCCTGTCTTAGCTCTCTTGTTCTTCAACTCTTCCCTATCCCTTAGCTTCTCTTCCTCAACCTGATGCACATAGACCATCAACCTTGATATATCTATATCCCCAATCAGCATCACTGCCCTGCCTTCTTTGCTTGATAGACGGGACAACCAAGCAACAAACAAACTTATTCTACTCCTCATATCCGCAACCATCTCCGGATTATAACGGGATAGTTAGGTGAACTTCAACCCATACGCATGAATGCTCAAAGAATCTTGCTTAAGTGTGAGGAACTCTAGTAACTTAGCCTCTTTCAGTTCTCGGGGTAAGAAACGCCTCAAGAAGGCCTCCTCAAAACAAGCCCAACTCGCAGGTAGTGCATTATCAACTCGGTTCTGCTTCCATTGATCGAACCAAATCCTAGCGACACCTTTCATTTGGTATACATCTAATTCCACCTTCTAAGTATCAGCAACATGCATGACATCAAATACCTTTTGCATCTCCTCAATAAATCTTTCTGGATCCTTACTAGTGCTTGAACAAGTGAAAATTGGGGGGTTCATCCTCAAGAACTCACGAATCCTCGAAATGTCGGCCTTTTCTTGTCGAGCTCCTCTTTGTTGCCCAACCTGATTAGTCACAACTTGACTTAGCATCCTAATTGCTTCCCTAAACTCAGTTTGGTAATTTCTCTTTGGGGTGGCACTTCAGGTGCATTGGTTACCCCTTGTTTCTCAACATTACACCTAGCAGGACGACCTCTGACAGCTCTTCATGGAGGTATGATTATCTGAAAACATGTGCAAACACGAATTAGAAGGAGAATTTTTAGAGATCAAACTCTAACGCACGAAATAAGTGTGAAAGAAGTGAGAAATTTTCCTAAGTGTTGCAGCCTCCTAATTATAGATGTGGTGCGCTTCACACTGACAACTAGGACTCTACAGACACGGCTTCATAGACTCCCTAGGACTCTTAAACTCTATGCTCTGATACCAAGTTTGTCACTCCCTGAGCCTTACACCCCGGACGCGGCTAGCACTCGAGAACTATTATTGTCCCTAAGTGAACCCTTGGCCTGACTTACTTACTCAGTGGAAGACTTAACTTAACAAGATAAACTCAAACAAACTTAGAATGTTATAAAGAAAACATTCAACTAGCCAATAAGGCAAACTCAAGTCTCAACATCAGATAATGAAATGAAAAGACTAAGGAACTAACATTTGACTATCTATGAAGATTCTAAACAACTGAGATGGATGTCGGGACAAGACCCACGACGTCCTAATGAACTAATAATAAAACTGAAAGCAATAAAAAGGGTCCTCTGGAAAGCAAGGAGGCTCACCACAAGACTCTGAGTGCTCAATTGGATCAATGATTCGCTGGATGTTGATCCTGATTACATATGTCTGCATCATAATAAGATGCAGGCCAAATGACATCAGTACATTGAATGTACGAGTATGCGAGGGGAATTCTAAAACAAGACATAAGCTTGAAAGGAACTGAAGAACTTACCTGGCTCAACTCAACTCAACATAACTAAACTCATTTCAATATAAAGCAGTTTAAAACAAGTGCAATATAAAGAAAAGATATTTAAAACATGATGTCAACTCTGTGTGTATGCAAAGATACATATAACTCTGAAATGTATGTAAAAATACAATAAACTGTGTATATAAGAATACAATTTCTTTTGTGGGAGTTTCTCTAACCGACAATCATCACGTAAGAGCTATTGTGATGATACATCATTTTGCCTTATGCTGCTAGGGCCGTCCTATGCCTTGCCGAGGGTATAGAACATGAACTACTAAGTGTATCCACTAGTCTATGCTAAAAAGCACTAAAGGAATCATCTAAAAAGTATGACCCTTTTTAACCCATGATGGCTACATAGTTTATGGGGGCTGTGAGTTGTCTGAACTCTCTCCTATATCGGTGCTCAATAATACTCCCAAAATATGATACTAGCTCTTATGGTTAAAAACATACCTCTTTCTGTGATTTGAGATAATTGCTCAAAACTCAGCTCAAAGGCTATCTTGGAAATCAAAGTTTCCTCCCTTGCTTCATTTAGAAAGCGATTACTCTTTTCTGAAAACTAGCTCAAAGGCTCTTTGGAAATCTCAGTTTCCATTCCTATTTAAATGTGAAAACATTTTAAACTCTTTGGGAACACATAGTCCCCTTATACTTTTGAATAAATGAACTTCAACTTTACTCATTACCATTTACTCAACTTGAACTTTAAGTCTTAAAACAAAGTTAAAAGCATTTGCAAAAGACTTCTTGAAAAGACCCTAAGAACTTCCTAGACTTGGCTCTTTGACTTTTATTGAATTTGAATTTATGGATTCAAGGTTATGATTCATTTTTTTTGGATGATTTCTAGATGTTTAGAAGTCATTTAAAGTATTTAGAATCAATGGAAAGTGTTAGTACACTTTAGAATTACTTAAATAGGCGAATTGACAAAAAACTAGTGAAAAAATGACGATTTGGGTGCATCCCGGGCGCTCCGCGCCAGCCCCAACTTACTGGGGCTCCTATTGGGCGCACTGCAAGTGTGTCTCACTAGACTCTCTGGCGCTATGGGGGTGCGATGCGCCTGGCCCTCCACAAGTGCGTCTGACGAATTTTTCAACTCGTTTTATGATCCTAAATCATTTTAAATCGATTCCTTTTCTCAATACATTCTTAGATTTAGATACCCAAATCATGTACACTATAATCTAACTTGAAACTTCTCTTAACATCGCTGAAATGTCTCAAGAAAATCCATCAATCACATGTAAGTTCAAGAATGAAACAATTCAAGAACACAACTCAAAAATATCAAATTCTAACTCTTTTAGGACAAAAATCGTTGAATTAAACATGTTTGGCGCATGGGTGAATGTAACCAACTCTATGTGATCTCACATACCTCGTAGGGATCACCCCTTGATGAATTCCACAAGCGATTCTTTACGAAGAAGTCGAAACTTGAACTTTATTCTCCTTTCTCCTCTTTTCTCTTTTCTCCAAGCCCTAGCATAGATTTCCAATTTTTCTAAACTGACCAAATTCAGTTTTGAACCTTAATTAATTCATTAAAACAAATTGAATAAATTGGGTAAGGAAAAGACCAAACTACCCTTTAAAAATCTGAATTGGACATTTCCTTATTTGAACAGCCCAACTTCCAATGAGAATAACTCACTCATACGAACTCGTAATCTCGCAAACTTAGCGTCGTTGGAAATACTATTTCAAGATCTTTCCTATGATATCTGGAAACACACCTAACTCATATTGAGCTAGAAGTTATGGTTGTTTGAAGTTGACCAAAACCTCAACTTTAACACACTTGACAAATTTTCTAGATTTTAAATTCTTTCCAAAAATGACTATTTCTTTTTATTAATTTATTTTTAGTTCTTTCTAGTTACGGGGTGTTACAGTTACGAGGAGCAAAGCTGCTATGCTAGGACAACAAACACTTCAAGCGTCGTCAACATCAACATCTGTTTTTGGGTCTTCGACTCCAAAATGAGTAAGTTCCTCCACAAAGTCTTTAGAAAGAGGAATCAATGTTGCTGAAAAGATCAAGAAGACACTGACTCTCCTTGAGCAATCTGGTTCCAAGAACTCTACCAATGATCATGCAAACAATGGTGACTGTTGCTTATTCTCTTGAGGAACAACTTGCAAATCTAACAAAGTTGGTTGAAGGATTGACAAAGCATGTACAACACCAAGAGTCTCGAATTTATAAGTTAATGGATAGGATGGAAGGACTTTTAGATGGAGAAGTGAGTCATGTGCCTGGAAAATATGTTGAAGTTCAAGAGATTGGAGATCCTGCAAAGAAAGCACCACTTGTTAATGAGATGTCAGTTTCTTCTGAAGGAATGATCCCACTCGATCAATTGAAGGAGTTCATTGAAGGCACTATCAAAGATAAGTATGAAGTCTCCACCAAGTCTTCTCATATGTATGTCAAGCCATACACTGCAAGAATTGATAACTTAAAAATGCCTGTTGGTTATCAACCTCCTAAATTTCAACAATTTGAGGGCAGAGGAAATCCGAAGCAACATGTTGCACACTTTGTGGAGACAAGCAATAATGCTGGAACATATGGAGACCATCTTGTCAAGCAGTTTGTCCGATCTCTAAAAGGAAATGCCTTTGATTGGTACACAGATCTTGAGCCCAATTCTATTGATGGTTGGGAGCAACTAGAGCATGAGTATCTCAATCGCTTCTAAAGCACGAGGAGTACTGTGAGCATGGTAGAACTTACGAATACTCACCAAAGGAAGGATGAACCAGCCATAGACTTCATAAATCGATGGAGGAATGCGAGCCTGAATTGCAAGGATAGGCTTAGTGAAGCTTCTACCATAGAAATGTGTATCCAAGGGATGCACTGGGAGCTTTTTTACATCTTACAGGGAATATAACCCAAAATCCTTTGAAGAACTAGCTACTCGCGCTCATGATATGGAGTTGAGCATGCCCTCTGCTAGAAAGGATATGACGTTTGTCCATGACCCTCACAAAGGAAGAGACAAGCAGAACCTAACAGATGGAGCAAATTTGTGCCTAAGAACGACAACAAAGAGTCAATGAATGTTAATGTGTCGCATGTGAAGTTCACTACGAAGGAAGGTAAGGATCAGAGTGTGAGAACGAATTTCCAAGCGTGTTCAAACCAAAAGTCGATCTTAAGGGAAATGTAAGAAAATGAATACCCCTTCTTGGATTCTAACGTTTCTGATATTTTTAATGAGTTGCTTGAATTAAAGCTCATTGAGTTGCCAAAGATGAAGCAATCTGATGAAGCTGGAAAAGTTGATGACCCAAATTATTGCAAGTATCATAGACTTGTGAGTCATCCTCTTGAAAAATGTTTTGTCTTAAAGGATAGAGTGATGCGATTGGTTAGAGAAAAGAAGATTGTCCTTGATGATGAGAAATCTAGTTCTAACCAAATCTCTGTCACATTCAGCTCGCTCAAGCCGGTCTAAATATATATCGCCAAAAAGCATGAAGAAGATTCATTGGAGCAAGAAAAATGTCAAGCTGATATATATGGAGATGAAGGTTGGGTTCTTGTGACTAAGCGGAGACGCAACAAGTCAAGCTTACGGAAAGAATCATTTGAGCAACCAATTAGAAAGAAGATGGTGAAGAAACTAGTGAAGCAGAAATCAATCAAGTGCCCAAAGAAGGCAAAGGTAGAAATGCATCATTACTAGAAACCCGACGTCCTATCACTCTAGAGGAATTCTCACCAAGTTCGTTCTGCACAAAGTCTACTCAAGACAATGTCGAGGCATCATGTTTCAATGTTGATAAAGAAGAAACACTGAAGGTGTCTCCTACTGATAAAGAAGGAACAATGAGAGAATCCTCACCAAAAGTGTCTCCTAGTGGAGAAGAAAAGGCAACAAGGGAAATCTCGTCAATGATGTCCCATTCATCTTCTGAAAAGCCTATTGAACCTTATTTCCAAGAAGCACATGTATGTGATACAAAAATCACATTTACAGCTAATGATCTTCTATTTGGTGAAACACTACACAATCGTCCCTTGTATATGATGGGTCACGTGCTAGAGAAGAAGAGAAATAGAATCTTAATAGATGAAGGATTT